TATAGGCTTGAATCTAATGACAATATCAAAATCAGTGTGACATTTGATTGCACTCGTGTCTTGCATTCTTCTGGCATTTTCTGACTGCTTAACAGGTCTGTTCACCAACTGAAGGATATATATGTTATAAAGTCCTGTAATGTTAGTTCAGATGCAGTTAGAGTTGTCTTGTTTTCTTTTGGTATAAACACTGAACCTCAAGCTAAGTATGAAAGAAAACAAGTTTCTAACTCAGTCATAAATTTAATGCACAGTTCTGGCACTAGTAACAAATATCCTGCTGGTGAATTTTGTTTGTTTCATCTTTAGCCACATGTTTCTTAAGAGACATTTATATGGAGAAAGAAAAGAAGGTCTGATATTTTCAACTACCACTTTTGGAGGGGGGTTGTTGGTTTTTTTTGGGGGGGTATGTATAAGCAGCTGGGAAGTTTTGGGGTTTTTTATTTTAAAGTATATACTGTTGAAGAATAGTGTGCTTAAGGAAGTTCAAAAAGGATCATGGGAAAGTGTCATTTGGTCTAAAATTGTAATTGGTAAAGAATAAGAAGAAGGTTTCTTGCAAATTACTTAGTATCTGGCTCAGTTAGAATTTCTAACTATGAAGAAATACTGTGACATTTCATGTACTTTCAGTATTTGAAGAAACTTGTCAGTTGCTCTTTGAATAGTTCTTTATTAAAATCAGCTTTAACTTAATATTCTTTAAAAATCGCATTGATAACTTAATAAGGCAATAAAAATTAAGGTAAATAAGCCTGAAGGTTCAGAACCGTCTATGCCAAAAATTATGGCACATACTTGATTATGTGATTGTGGAAATGTTGGGCTGCACTGAGGAAAAATAATCAACAAGGCCAATAACAAAATTAATTCACTTATTTACATCTGCAGTGATGTGCGTTCAACACCTTAGTTTTACATGTAGAAAGTTATTGATACCACTAGGACTCTTGAACTGCTTAATGTTAAGCAAGTGCTAAGGCTTTTTGGTGGATAAGGTCTCCATCCTCTTTAGAAATTCAGCACACTGGCTTTTTGTGGACCTAGTGCACAAGGCCAGATTTCTGTACGTAGCTATACTGATCTGAACTGAACTACTTGCATGTCTAAGTCAAATATAACTTAGCCACAAAATTATTAATTGTTGTGGAGAATGGACTGAAAGAGGCAAGAGATTTTAATAGGAATTAAAAGATGAAGATAAAGTTTATTTCTTAAAGAACTGCTGTTCTTTTTCTAACCACTTTGAGCAAACTGTCCACTAAAAATAATGGACCACAATGACTAACAGCACATTAAATATTTCTACTTATATTTTTCAGTTAGTTAATGAAGACACATTTTTTTAATAGGAAATTAGATTGAGCTCAGAAATTATTCTAAATATAATTTTACATGTTGGATATTAGTTTGCTTTATCTGGAAAAAAAAACCTCAACCTCTTCTGTGTTCAAATATCACATCAGATAACAAGAAATAGATTAATTATTTATGCTATTAGCACTGAAATAGTTTTCTTGAGGTGCAATATTTATTTTTCTGCTTTAACAAGACACGTTTAGTGTTTCTCCTGCACAGCACAGATGTTTTCAGTAAAATGGAATTTTAAAAGGGCACTATTTTTGTGTATCATATTTAAATTTGTAATATTGTAAGATTTTGCACAAGTGTGCTGGTATTGTACTGTATAGTATCACATACTTGAGTTTTGAAATAAAACTATGGTTTCAAAGTCCTCAATGTTGCTATCTTAAGGGTTGGTTGTTTTTTCATATATGCTCTCACTGCATATTAATGGCTCTGTTCCTATGAAATTCATGCTGCCTTGTCCATACTGCATAACATAGTGCCATGGTACATATACCAAAGGTCTTGTTCCTAGTCTTTCAGTTTTTCAGGAAAATTATGTAAACGAAGCAAGCAAACTCCTGTTTCAGTAAAGAAAATGTTGGTAAACAGGGTCATCCCTGTCATACCCTAGACACATGAGAGAGGAAATTGAAATATCCTGGAGAGCGTTTAACTCCTGCTTCAGAGGGGGCTGACTCTCACTGAGGAGGTTGAACACGGAGAGCCACAAGGGAGACCTATAACCAAAGGAGACTAAGTGAAAGGTTAGGATTCTTTATTTGCTTTGTGTTCTTGTAGGCTTGGGAAGTCTGGGAAGCCTGGGCTTTGTGGAAAACTGAACTGTCAGACCAATGGGAAGGTGAAAACACTCAATTTCCACAAAGAACAGAAATTTCACTTCTGGATCTCTTGATGGTCTGTGAAAAACTTCAGGATAACAACAACCTTGAAGGGAATGACTGTTACCAGGAAAAGACCCTGATATTTCTGTTTTCCACATGAACAGTTGTTTTTTTTAAACTTGTTTCCTCTCCTGTTGTTCAGGCTTCAAGGCTCCTTTAGAAATTATTGTAGATAACAGTTAACCATGTGATGGAACTTACATATTTATGTGCTATTACAAAGGTGTTTATCTCACTTTTCTAGTTAAAAATTCTACTAAACATCAATAAAGTGAAGTTTGACTAAAGGAACTTTGCCACAATGAGGATAATAAGCACAAAATGTTAAAATTTGGAAGAACAATTAGCATGCAATTTTGAAATGTCTTTCTTCAGAAACCCAACTTTTGGTTAGTTTACATGGTAGGAAATAATGTAGCAGTTGAAGGTAAGCACAAAGATGGTAAGATTTTGTTTAATGTGCTTGGTGCTTTACAGCTGCAGTCTACTAGTTCATGAGAGCTCCAGAGTCACTTAGTTTCTGCTACTACATTGTGAATGTAAGAGAATCCACTTAGCACTTGCTTCCGTGAGAGTAAGTCCAATTACAGTATCTCAGATTGCCATCACTTTGTAGAGGCAGGTATCAACAGCACAACAAAGGATTGAATAGAAATTCGAGCAAGAAATTTGTCCTAAGATCTCATGGAGCTTTACCAACATTCAGTTCCAAACCACAGGACAAACACAACCTGAGTTTCATTTCTTTATTGCTAATGGAGACATCATTAACCACATCATTCTCCACTCATCCCCAGATGCCTGTCTATGGTATAATATACCCAAAACCATATTATATGTTGTTGTAAGAGATGGCCCGGATAAAAGTGAATAGTATTTTAATATATTAAGTGGGAACTTTCTACAATGCAAAACATAGTTTAAAGAGGTAGGTACTGTTACACTTGTGTATACACGACCTTGAACACAGCCTGGGGATGTAGGTTACCTAAAGTTTTACTGAATCACAAACTGAACATGATGTAACAAATGAATCCTGTTGCAATAAAAAGGTTCATACCATTCTGAATTGTATAAGCAGGTAAAATAGTTTATTAATCAGTACTTGACACATAGCCAGGCTTCAGCTAGAGAGAAAGAGTGAACAAAATGAGGTTTCTTAACTGGAAGAAAAGTAGGAGTAGAGGCATAAGCCTTTAAATGCGTAAGATTGTTGCAAAATGTAAGGGAATAAGCGATTTTCCTTGTCCATTTCCAGCAGGAAAAGAACTGATAGGTTTACACCACAGTATGGGCAAATCAGTTTAGAGTAGGGAAAACTTTTTAACAGTAAAAGGCAGTGAAGCACTGGAATAGAGCATTTGAGGAAATGTTAGGAATTTGTCACTGGAAGTCTTTAGGAGCAGGTTAGACTAACATCTGTCAGGAACAACATAAATACAGCTGATTCTACTGACAGTAAGAGGAACTAGCTGATCTCTTGAACTCCATTTCTGCTCTGTATTTGTTGGAATCTGCAAAAAAAAATAGTTTCTTTGCTAAGACTTCCTGGAGTTTTTTAAGTTATAGCTGTGAGGATCATCTGCGTTTTGAATCAGTCTGTTGGAATCACTGTTGGAACTTCACAAAAGGCAGCAGTGAAGGGACAAGCTCCCATCTCTGTCCCTACGGTCTCACAAGGAATCTCATTTATGGCAGTGTATCTCCAAATATGTTAAAAACAAAGTATTTTATAATCTCTGTGTTCTGGGACCTATTTTTGCATTGGACGTCTAAGGCAAAAGAAGGTAAAAGGACTACATCAAGACACAGAGAATAGTGGGGAATCTATGCACTTCCAATTCCAAAAGAAAAACCCTGCCTGTCATGCTATGATGCAATAGAGAATTTATTTACCAGATGAACAGACAAGCAAGGAGCTGTTAATCAGTAAATCAGGAAAAAATAGCAAAAGAAAGAGATTCAAAGTGTTTACTGACTTAGCAGTCTTAACAGTCTTATCTCCCTTCCTCAGCTGTGTTTTCTGAGTCAGCAGTAGTTAAATTTTCCAGCAAACCCTACATGAAAGAAAGTGTAAAGGGTGATTAGGGATTTCCAGTTGGTGACCTCACTTTTGAGTGGGACAGTCAACACATTTTCTCTGACATTCTTTCTATGAAGCAGTGCAGTGGCAGCTGAAGTTGCTTTCAAGAAGTCACTTCAAAAGCGGTCTGACAGGATCCAATACCTTAACTTTTCCTAGCACAGGAGATAAATCACCTTGAATTTAGTTATTTTCTGAGTTGGGGAAAATGGCAACTTATTCTGGAGTTACCTCAGCAGTGGTTCTCATCTGGTTTATGACATTCATGGCTCAAAATCACTTTATAACAGGTATGTAAAGTTCTACTTTTTAAAGTTTACTGGTAGAACAGTGAAGTACTTGAAGCGACTAGTTGAAGTAAATTACTTGAAAAAAGTAGCTAAATTTTAAAGGAAAAATGAGGAGGGAGTGGATGTAAATGTGTTTCTCACATAGGGAAGAATCCAGTGCACTGAAAAGTACTCTAGCATATAGAGGAACTCTTTAATTGTTAGTCTAATTGCATTATTGTCCAAATGCTGTAGCATTATTGTCTAAATGCTGTAGAACTGTTTGAAGATATTGCATTTAGGATTAAGTTCATATCTATTGAAATGAGATTTTATTTTGCACTGTTTAAAATACCACAGCAAGCAGTTTTGTAAAATCCTCCAAGAGTGGAATATGCATGAAACCAGCTGTATGCACCTGTAATAAAATGCTATCTTTAATGCAAAGGGGTTTGCTCTGATTTGGCAATACCCTGGTGCTGCCTTTATTTTCAACACTGAAGGAGATGTGTGGCAGGGATCTTGCAGTTAATCTCCAGGACTGTCTCCAGTTAATACAGTGCAGAAGTTCCTATTTTATATAAAATATTTGTTTGAAAAAAAAACACCATTGGGAATTGCTAATATCAGCTTTATCACAGAGTTTTTAGATAACTGTCCTCCCTCAAACATTACTATAGGAACCTATTTTTTTCAGTCAGGGTCATCTAATACCCCTTTATTCTATATGCTAGTGAAATTTTAATGTCTTTTTCGAATTCCATAATCAACTGGACACAGCCTATTCTAACTGCAGTAGTTACTAGGATATCTGCAGATACTCATGTACAACAGATGCCTCACTGTAATTTGTAAGGAATAAATGCATGTTCTTGCTATGTAAAAAAATATGCACCATTGTTGCAGACAATTGATTTTATCTACTGAAAGGCTTCTGAAGGAAACCTGGGCTGAGTTAATTAGATGCTCAACTCCAGTTGACCACTGTGGTCCTATTCAGGCACTGTGGGACTGTGTCCTGGTTGGTGAGGGCACTGTCCTAGCCTGTGCAGCTGTCACCCTCAGCTCCTGGCTCCTCTTTTCTTGTGGAACATCCTCATTCTTGCTGCTCCCTGACATCAGCAGCCACAAAATACTCTCTCTAATAAATCAGAGTGAAGGCTTGGAGCAAGGCAAAGAGACAGAAACAACAGCTTCCCTAAAAGAGCAACAAAACTAATGCACAATAAAGCCAATACCCATAGCTTACCAAAATGGAACCACTTTCTTCCTGTCCAGTGACAACTTTGTTTTGTGAGATTCTTCTGCTTAGGTCTTCCCACCTTTCTCAGTAAAACAGATTTCTCATACATGACCCAGCTACTGAGGAAAATGTCCCATTATTAGTTGGTGAACTAAACAGAGCAAAGCTTAAAGTACTATGTGCAGCCTGTGGACCAAAAAGGGTAATGTGCTTCTAAAGGATTAGTCTGTCTCCTGTACAAACTCAAGTCATCTTTAGAACAGAATTCAGAAGTGATTTGAGAAGCGATGAAGAGACCTGAAGAGGCTACTGTTCTCTTTCTGGATTTCTTCCTTACCCTGTAAAACCATCTGGAATTTAGATTGAAGCTGTTAACTCTTCCAAAAAGTTTCTTTTACTTCTCTGTTTTGTTTTTAAAGGATTAGTGAATTCTAAGGTACAACTTTGGTCCATATCCTACAGTCACTTTTCTCATTATTTTTTTATCCCACAATTCCCATGTAAAAATATTTGGCCTACAACTGAATGATGAAAGACTATAACAGTTTATAAGTTGCCTAAGGTTTCAGGAAGTTCCATTCAGTCAGCTGCTCAGCTTTATTTGAAATAGGTAATGTTGGTCATCAAGAAACTTTCATTCTCAAGACTACACTTTTTAAAGTTGTATTAGTTCAAATCTAAATACAGGAAAAAAATTGATTAAGTAAGAAATAAGAGTGACCTCTGAGTGTAAAAAGAAGTACAGGGAAAAAGAAATTAGGCGTGAACCTTAGAGGAGGAATAGGGTCTTGGAAATTTATAAATAGGAACTGTAGGATGTGCCTCAGCAGCTGAGACAGGGGGTTATTCAGGAAACCAGAAATGAGCCTCAAGAGGACCGTGGGAGTTGCCTGTTAGCAAAAGGGAATCAAGAAAACTTAACACTGGAGCACCTGAACAGAAGTACTTAGGCCAGCTGCCTCACTTCTCATACTCGAAGGCCCTTGAAACCTACACATAGACCTTCACTGAGCCACAGGGCTTCTCTGCACCCTCCTCCAATATGTTTGAGCTGGTCTTACTTTCAAGTTAGGGCTGGATGCAACCACAACTGGCTATGAGAACTGCTCAAGTGGTCAGTGGCTCACCTGTGTGACTGAGTCTACATGATACCAGGAAGTGTCCTTGGGAGGTCACAGCTGAGATAGATCTACCTAATTCAGTGATTGCTCTACCAAATATTTAGGTCCAATTAAACTAAATGAAGGACATATCTTCTATCAGAAGCCATTTTCAACTCTGCCACATCCAGCAGAAGCAGGAGTGAGAAGCCAGCCTTTCTTTTGGCACTTCACACAAGCTTAGTAATCTTTTTAGCCCCTTCTTATCCTGGGAGTGGCTTGGCTCCTAGTTGTCTTTTCATTCATACAATTCTATCTAACCTCTGTTGTGAAGAAGCATCTTTTCTTATTAATATTTTAATTATGTGGAAAATTATGTAAAATACATATGATAGAACTAATTTTGGTAAGAGTCGTGTACTGACAGATTCAGTGCCTCAGTGCAATTGTTAGTTGAATCATTTTAATTTAGAAAAAAGGAAAAAACCTGATTATTCTTCCCATTTTGCATAAGTATGACAAATAAGAACGTCTTCAGTAAGAAACTGACACCAGGTAATGACTCAAATGCCAACTGTATATGCATTTAGTTTATTTTACCTCTATTTTTAAAGTATGTCTTTTTGCTAGGAGTTAGTTTTCTGCTATCCTAGCTAGAAATTTTCAACTATGTTCAATTCAGTTGAACAGGATGTTAAATTCTTCATGATGAATAAATGTTAATATTCAAATACTAACCTTGAATATTTATATCTAAATTACAGGTTCCACTCTTTCACCTTGCAGAATTACAGGTGTAGGAATTTATCTTGAGGAGAAAGTTAATTTCTCAGAAGCAAGTAATGCATGTAATCAACTGAATCTACAATTGGCAAATAAAGACCAAGTTGAAAAGGCTTTGAAACATGGCTTTGAAACATGCAGGTATATGATATCAGTTAGTGTCTTATTATCTTTAGTGAATGCCTTTACATACTTCTGAGGCTGGTGATAAATCTAATATTAAAAGGACTGATGCCTTTTATTGTAGCTATGGATGGGTGAAAGATGGATTTGTTGTTATTCCTCGGATAACATCCAACAAGAAATGTGGTAAGGGCAACGTTGGACTAGTGCAATGGTATGCTGAACACTTTAAAACATTCAAAGTTTATTGCTTCAATTCCTCAGGTATGTAAGCATGACAACTACATTTTTTGTGTTTTGGTTTGGTTTTAATTGTGATTTATCTGATGAAAAAATCATAGCAAGTGAGTGAGTTCTTACAATTTGTTGGCCCTTTCCCTCCCTGATCCTAAATTTTGTCAAGCTGTATTTGGTTCTGTAGGGGAAAGAAGCTTCCAAGAAGTACAAAAGGTTAATCTAAATTAATAATTTGATGTTGCCATGAAAGCTCTTGAAGAAGAGCTGCTTTTACCATTTTTTAATTTTGACACAAGGCTCTTAATATGTTTTTATTATTTATGCACATTCATTTGAAAAACACTAATCAAATCTTTACCCAGAGTGTGTCTGTGCTGTGTGTTTTCTTGCAAAAAGACCAAGGGTGGGGTACTTCAGGAAAAGCTTAATGTTTTTTGACAAAAGGAAATGTATCAAAACTAAAATTAAAATATAAGCTAGAATAGCTGGGAGACCAAAAAATTAGCTAGGTTCCCAATTTATTATCAGTAAAATCAAACAGCTTCTTCTAATGTGCATCATCCTATATGTGAAAAGAACTTCCCTTCCTTCATTCCTGACTGTTTATTCCCAGATTGAAGATGCAACAGTGGAAATTTGACCTTGATAGAAGTTAGACCTTCTCAGCACAATAGATCAGTATTGTTTCTTCATGACTTCTGTGGTATTAACCAAAAATAAGTTTTTAACTAGACATATTGTGATTCTGCTTGTGTCCCATATCTATGGTTATTATGTAACAACTATCCCAATAATGAGACCATACACAGGATCAACAAATTGTTTCTGTTCAGTCCCTAGATCTTGCAAATGAGTTTTAGATAACAAGAGCAAAAGATTATGTGCAAAACCCTAAATTTTTTCAGAAAAGATGTGTGAAGAAGGGTTGGAAAGAGCAGGTGAAACATGGATATGCCCACATGAAGATACAAAGTCCTAAAACTACATCTGGTGACTGTGAACATTGGAGTTTATTAAAGACTGATGATAAAGCTGTTAGGGAGAACGCCAGGCCTTCCTGAGCTATTTTAGTGAAGAGAGCAGATAATATAAGTCATTGGCTTACAAAGTCTCTGACTGCTGATAAGAAAGTGCTGCAGAGAGATAGCACCATTAAAAACTGACTTATTACCTAATCAGTGAAGTTTAAAATTACATGATTTGGTATCTTAATTTTTCTTCATAGTCCATAGCTTTTATTGATGAATGCATAGGGGAATTAGTAGTTGGGCATAATGCTCTAGCAGAAGCTGCTCCTACTGGTACTGTTATTTCTTCTGTTCCTACGCAACATGGTGTTTCAGTGCATGAAATATATGTCACATTTTGCATCAGAAATGTTGGGTAGTGCTAACAAGCTTCTTTAGCTGTAATTTTAAAAATTACATTGTTACAGTATGTGGAGAAAGTTAGGCTTCCTGTATGGCTAGTAAATAAAGGAATGTGCATTTTACATTAGGATTATTCTGCATTTCTTTATCTTAACTGCCAAACTGTTGCCTGTTCTAGGCGTTTCATACCCAAAATACTTGGCAGAAGCTTATTCTGTCAATTTTCTTTGTGCCAAAGAAATGCCAAAATCACTTGAAGGCTGTAGTGGAAAAAGTAAAAATCCCCTGCCATTTAGGTTTTATTCTGTGAATGTAACTGCGTCATCAGACTTCCTATGGGGATTCATTTGGACAACGGTACATACGTTGTTTCCCTGTTAGTTATGTTGTAAGTTGCTTGTTACTTTAGTGACATTTTTATAGCTTTACAGAATACAGATTTCACTAGAAAAAAAAGAATTTTCATATGAGTCTGATTCAGAGCTAAGCTTTTCCATTTACCTATAAAAGTCCACTTGCACCCACATTTTTATATAGACAACATTCACATCGTTAAAATTACTTAATTTCTGAGTATGCCTGAAGTTTCTTTCTTTCTAGCCCCCCTTAGAATCCTGTCATTTCTTTATCTCACACTGATGCCTGATTTACCTGAAAGATTTGTGGGCTACTTTTGTTTTCAGGAAATCCAAGTAGTGTTCCAAGTATCAACAGTGCACATATATGTTTTGAATATATACATAATATGATGGAAATATTTTTGAATACTGGATCTGCAGTTAAGTCTCCTGCTCTGCAAGAGGTCATAATTGTTTTTATAAATATTATCATGCTAAGTACTTTTCAGGAGGTACCTTGTCATTGGTATGCAATTATAAAATGAGTGCCACACTTGCTGGAAAAAGTGTTTAACTATGTGAATAATGATAAAAGGTGCATCATCTGGGTTGTAGCCACATATTTTAAATAGGCATGCCTGATTTGGGTAAGGCTTTTATGAAGCCTTATGAGGCTTCATAAACAAATGAATAAACAAATAATAATTCCCAGAGGGGAATGACTGAGGAACAATTTTGATGAACATGTGTGTACATCAAGTACAAAACTAACACAACTCTTATGTATTTCCTTTCCCTGCTTCAGATGTTCAGATTAATTCATGTAAACCAGATCCAACTACAACCATACTACCTTCATCAAGTGCACCAACGGACTTCACTGCTTCTTCAGGCTCTGATTTGACTGAGAACATCACAGCAGTGCCAAATGTGACCGAGTCAGAACAATTCTTGAAAAAGATAAAATTTCGTGTAATATGTGTCACAGAAACTGTAATACCAACAGAGGGGACAACTACAAAACTGCCGGAGGAATACTCACTGATTGACTCTCCTAACTACACTTCACGTGCTGCTTTTAAGAATGATGCCATTGCCTTTGGAGGTAAAGGCCATATATGGTAGCTATGTAATCAGAAGAGGTAGTTACATAGATATTGGTAGTGAAACTGTTTACTGCTGGTTTTGTTTGCTACTCCAGCATCCATTCTGATATAGCTGAACCTGGAGGCAGAATAAGAAAGTTAAGGTTTTGCAAAGCTTATACAGAAGAGGATTTTAGAATAATTTTAAAGTGGAAGTAAGATCTCATTTTATACTTTTTGATGGTATTTTAATATGAAATGGTGGAAGTTCATTCTGGTTTATGTGACTTGGGGTAAATATATTTCTGGAAAAGTCTTGACAAACACAACGTGCTCAGAGTAATGGAAAACTCAGCTGGCTCTTAAAAACAAAAGAAGTCAATAAAGTTTTAAGAATTGTTGTTCTCCAAATATGGAGGTGTTCTCAAGATAAAAGGCGTGATACTAATATATAGCAAGTGAAAAAACAGACTAAATATGAGGAGAATCATTCTAACTATAAGGATAATTAATCACAAATGTGTTCTCTAGGCAAGTTGTAAAAAACATCCAATAAGCAGATTAGACAAATATCTCCTAGGGATTGCCAAATCACTGTTTCAGTCTCTTGAAAAAAACAAACAAGAGTAACTAATCTTTTGAGATTCCTCTCTTCTTGAGTTGATGTGCATGTACTTCTTACCCTAGGCTGGTTTTAGAATAATCTGGATTTATGCTCATCAGCCTTTAGAAAGTCAGAATTAAGTTCATATAAAAACTCTATGCTTAACCTCACTTTTATCTCTAGGTATCCCCACTGCACTTCTTGTACTGGCAATCTTCTTCTTCATTATTTCAGTTGTTCTAGCAGTCTGCTATGTCAAAAAGTAAGTTTACCTTTTTTTTTTTTCTTTTTTTTTCTCTGACTGAGTTAGCTCCTAGAGCTCAAGCAGTGAATATTTTAGATAAGTAGCTAAAGAGCAAAGAAGTAATGATAGTGACATAACAGTGTAGCACAAAGAAGAAAACCATAAACCCTGTTGTTATGTGGATAGTCTGTCATTGCTGTTGACATTTCCTGGTTGAGAAAAGGAACCAAAGACAAATATTACCTATTTTTTAATAGCTGGTCATGCCTAGTGTGAAACATTTCCACATGTGCCAAAATAGCAACACTGAAGTGTGCATCTGAAGTTCCCACTGACTGGAAAAGGCGAAACGTAACCCCTGATTTCAAAAGGGGGAAAAAAGAAAGACCCAGAGAACTACAGAGCAGTCAGGCTCATCTCTGTACCCAGCAAGACTTCAGAGCAGATCCTCCTAGAAACTATGCTAAGGTACATGGTTAGTAAGGAGGTGATTGGTGATAGCCAACATGGCTTCACTAGGGGCAAATCCTGCCTGACATTTGGTGGCCTCCTACAATGGGGTTATGAAGTTGGTGGATAAGGGAAGAGCAGCAGTTATCATCTACCTGGGCTTGTACAAAGCATTTGGCACTTTTCTGCATGACATCCTTGTCTCTAAATTGGAAAAACATGGACTTGACAGATGGACCACTTGGTGGATAAGGAATTGGCTGGATGGTCATACTCAAAAGAGTTGCAGTCAACAGCTTGATGTCCAGAGGGAGATCAGTGATGAGTGGCATTACTGGGAATTGGTACTGGGACCAGTGCTGTTTAACATCCTTGTTGGTGACATAGATGGTGGGTTTGAGTGCACCCTCAGCAAGTTTGCTGATGACACCAAGCTGTGTGGTGTGGTCGACATGCTGGAGGGAAAGGATGCCGTCCAGAGGGCCTCAACAGGCTTGAGAGATGGGCCTATGCCAACCTCATGAAGTCCAACAAGGGCACGTGCAAGGTCCTGCACATGACCTGGGCAATCCCAAGCACAAATACAGGCTGGGCAGAGAATGGATTGAGAACAACCCTGAGGAAAATGACTTGGGGGCACTGGTGGACAAAAAACTCAACATGAGCTGGCAATGTGCATTTGCAGCCCAGAAAGCCAACTGTGTCCTGGGCTGCATCAAAAGAAGCATGACCAGCAAGTCAAGGGTGGTGATTCTCCCCCTTTACTCGTCTCTCTTGAGACCCCACCCAGGAGTACTGTGTCCAGCTCCAGAACTCCCAGTGCAAGAAGGACATGGAGCTGTTGAAGCGAGTCCAGAGGAGGGCCACAAAGATGATCAGAGAGCTGGAGCACCTCTCCTGTGAAGAGAGACAGAGAGACTTGGTTGTTCAACCTGGAGAAGAAAAGGCTCCAGGGAGCCTTCCAATACCAGCAGGGGGTCTACAGGAAAGCTGGGGAGGGACTTTTTGCAAGGACTTGTAGATACAGGATGAGGAGGAACCATTTCAAACTGACTTAGATTTGATTTAGGAAAAAATTATTTAGTGTGAGGGTGGTGAGACACTGAACAGGTTGCCCAGGGAAGCTGTGGAAGCCCCATCCCTGGAAGTGTTAAAGAGCAGGTTGGATGGGGCTTGGAGCAACCTCATCTAGTGGGAGGTGTCCCTGCCCATGCAGGGGGGTTGGAACTACATGGTCTTTAAGGTCCCTTCCAACCCAAGCCATTCTTGTGATTCTATGATCTGTTTGCATATAAGCCTGTTTCTGCAGTTTTATTCTTGTTTCATTCTATGTCAGATTCAAGGTAAACATTTTAATTCTTGGACTATGATTTTCTTTTTTTTTTTTTTTAAAAAAAAAGATAATTGTTGAGCTCATTTGTCATGCATGAAGATCTTCAACACACTGCATCATTAAATCATTTCAAAGAGCTGAGTAGATTTCTCACATCCTGGCCCAAATAGCTCTATTGTTATGTAGCATGAATCCTGAATATATATTATCTATTTAAAAAAACATAATACCAAAACATTTTTTTAAAAGCACACTGCTTGAAAATGCACAGTGCTTTAGGCCTGCCACCATCCTCTGTGAGACTTTTGCTTGAGTTTGGCAAAGAAAGTTCATTCTATATACTTTTAACTTTATTTCTTGAGTGATGCTACCCAGCTGCGTCAGTTTTTCCTTTACTATCCTATTTTTCTGTTTAAAGGTACAAGAAAACCTTCCCATTTTCAAACAAGAATCAGCAAAAAGAAATGGTTGAAACTACTGCTCTCAAAGAGGCCAAGTCAAATGATAAAACACCCGAGAAGGAAACAAATAATGGAAAAAATTTAGAAGAGTCTAAACCCAAGCTGGAGACCACAGTAAAATGTCTAGAAGCAGAAGTTTAAGGGGAAGAATGTACATTTCTTGGTAGAAATAAAATAAAACACACAGAACGTAGCAATGCTTTTAAACATGGGTGATTGTAAATACTCATGAGTGAATATTTTCTCTAGCTTAATATACAAAAACATGGGTTTTTAATCATTACATCTTTAGTTATAAATGCTTTTGCAAAAGAACATGGTATCTTATTTACTTGAAATAAATAGGAAATCCCTATTACTGCTCATTTTTCACTTTTAATAAATAAGTACTTAGGAATATGCTATTAATGATTTGCTGCGTGTTAATTATTTGCACGGAATTCAGATCAATATATAAAGAAAAGAGATTTTTTATCTGTCTGGAAGCTGTCTGCTAACTTAAGGTCTAAAACAAAATGATGATACTGTAGCTCTTCCTCGTGTAAATTAGCTTATTTCCATGAAGTAGCTCTATACTGTTTTTGAAAAGTCTGTTTACAAACAGAAGAAATAAATGTGTTTACAAGTGAATAAAAAAAAATTAAAGCATCAACTCACTGTCATTCAAATACCCAAGTAAGGGTACAAAGATGCTGATGTTTATATATATATATAACTTTCTTAGATATCTTAATCATATAATAATTTACTGTTTTATTTATTAAAACCTGTATCATTCTTCTGTATCAGATATTTGACAGGGGAAAAAACCACCTTGAACTGGATCTCAACAGTTCCATGTTGTGTATATTTAAGTGTGGCTTTCATAATTAAAATCTCAAGTGCTTTGGGATGGTTATAATACTTCGTAAAAAAATAAAGTATGGTAGATATCTTTGTCTGGACAACTTATTCTCATTAAAACAATCTCACAGTAAAAAGAGCTCCTATAACCTTACTGTTACAGAAGTAATTAGTTGTTATAAAAGAACAACATTAGCAATTTTTAAAACACTTCCTGAATAAATGGTTGGGATTATTTATTTTTACATGTGAAGAAGGTTATTACGGCAAAGAAGGTTTCTTTTGAGATCAAATAGCTTGAAAAATATAGTCTTAAATAAAGTAGCAATATAACTGCTCACCTATCCTGTGCTTTCTACAGTGTAGGGTACTGGGTTACAAACTTTGATGGTTTTGATTCCCCGAAACTTAAAAATTGCCCAGTGGTTATATATTGCTCTAGATTGTAAGCTACAGTGTATAGCTAACAGCATACTTAGAGACTCCCTGTGGTCTTGTTTTTTTCTTCCCTCTCTCTTTTAACTTTTTTTTTTTCTTTTTTTGATAGCTCAGAAATATTTCATGGCTCCAAGTATGGACTGTATTGATAGTCTTGTGACCCAGTACAGCTCTAAGCACTGCTGATTTCAGGTGTCCATCAACAGAATTTCAGCAGAAAAATGTGCAACTGAGGAAAGCACTAGATACAACCTTCCCGTTCAGTTAAGTAATTCCTCTCCTTGCAAAACACAGTAGTAATGCCATGTTCTCCTGGGAGCCTGACCTGGGAAGCACTCTATGCTGTGTGAGAAATGAGAATCAACAGCAGAAATCAGGCCACCAAGAAAGGCCACAGCACAGCCAACTCTGGTCCTGATGGTGTCAGAATAGCTAACAGGCTTAAGGACACTGGCAATGCTACTGGATTGCAGGTAACTTTGGATTTTTTTGTGACATTACAATTTCCCTTGTGCCTCTCTTTTAGAGATTAGAAATTACATGCTCCTCTACTTCCCCCTCCACCAAGAGATAATTATCTATCGCTTCTCTTACTCTCCTACTTACATTACCTCTGTTCCACAGGTATCAACTTTCTCCTCTCAGATTGTCTCATTCACACCTAAAATCTGAAACTTATTCTCCAGTTCCACTCCAACTGTAAGTTTGTTGCTTCTGTTTTAGATCTAAATAAGGGGTTTTTCTTCCCCTTGAAGTGTTTACTTTCTAAAAAATCTGTAGTAGCTGGTATAACAAGATATTGCCTTAAGCTATAAATGCCTTGGTTTATCCTGTACCTTAAAGACTCAGCTTTCATCTGCTCCTCATTACAGTCTCTGCCAACATTACAAAGGCTAAGAGAAACCCATTATACTGTTCTGTATGTAATGAAAGCTAGCTAATAAGTATTAATCAGCAAGTATTGTATTTGATTCTGTCTGTATATAACGAGTGCTACTCAATCACATTCTAATTAGAAAGTACAAAATGTTATCGCTCATTGCTTAATAGAACTGTAAGGGATGTACAAAGCAAACAGGAAACGTTTAAGTTCTAGACAGAAAGTGTCAAAAAAAAACCAACCTTAACTGGTAGTAGCAGAAACTTATCATAAATTCTCCATTGTTCCCAAGTTTTCTCAAGTGCTTTTTTTTTTTTTACAAGACATTCTCAACAGCTATGAAGTTACTTATGTTTCAGAAATTGCATTATGCTCAATTATCTTGGACAAATAATTAATTCCACCTAGCAGGAGGTCACAGTTTGTGTTAATCATCTGACAGTAACACTGCTCAGATTCCCACACTGAGGGTACAGATGTTTGCTGACCTTAGGCAAAAGGGGTGGTTGGCCTGCAGGAAATCCAGCGATGTTCCCAGTCCAGCCCAATCCAGTCTGGAACACAGGGGTGTCTTTATCGTGGGAAGTGCATGCGTCTATGTGTGAACAGAAGCAGGCAGGAAGGGGAAGTACTACTCCTTTTCTCCTCTTTAAATTAAAAAAAAACACACCAACCAATAAACAACTCTGGAAGTAAACCTTGAAGCATCAGGATGTGGATGACCTGGAGGATGTTCTAGGATTTCTGTTCCTAACTGACTGGCTATAATTTATGAGTGCTGGGGTATTTTTCTGTGAGAAGGTCACTGAGCACTGACCTTTGCCACAGGCATCCAATTCCCATATCCTCCTCCCCTCAGACCAGGACGCTCCCTTCCCCTCCACCCTGGCTGTGCCGGCAGGGCTGGGGAGGTGTTCTGCACCAGGGCCTGCGCTTGCCCCCGCCGAGGCAGGCACACAGACCGGCACACACACCTCCCCTCACACTGTGCTGCC